ATCTTCTGGTTTAATATTAAAAAATTATTTTGGCTATTTATCGTTAACTATTGAAATGTTCATTTGGAAGGTATTCTCACTCTCAATTATTGGTACTCTCACTCTCAATTATCGATACTCTCACTCCCACTAAAACGGAAAAATAAATTCAGATACCTACTGGAGATCAGTGTTGTTATACCTATATATTCTAGTTAATTATTTCAAAAATGGATTCATTTCCTCTAATTTATACTAATATCAATTTTGAACCTTTCACCATGTTTAGAAGAAATTTCGTCAAATAATTCACTGTTTAGGCGAAATTCCCTAATCCAAGAAAATTTCATATAATTCTTTAATTATCAAAATGCTCTCTAAGCATGGGACATATCTGAAGGGAAAAAGACTTCTCCTGTATTATGGTTACTCACCAGCTTATATTTCAAAATAATGATAAAATCATCAGTTGAAACTTTGATATTTCTACTTCAGAAAGTATGAAAGTATTTCATGAAAAGAAAACACCTCGCCATGATGTAGAAAGATCTTAGAAATTTATAACTGGAAAACAATTACGATTGGGAAGAAAAAAATTGCAGCAAAATTCATGTAAGGAAGCCTAATGTTCTCCCAAAAATACCGGTTTCAGTTCAAGACTTTTTTGAAACATGGCACTGTTAATCCCTTTTACCATTTTTAGTCCCATTTTGATGCATGAAAATTTTGTTCATATACTACGATTAAGGATGATTTCGAAAAAACTTCAATTTTTATTTCATTAAAAAATTATGAAAAGTTATTATGTGATTAATATTTTTTTTTCATTTCGTATACTTCCATCTCTTTAAAAAAATTCTAAACTAAAAACAAGAACTCTAGGAGGAAAATGTATGCTCTGTCAAATAAATTTCCTCTGAGTTATTTTCCTTTTTTTCTTTCAACTTAACTGGTTTCCAAAAATTGCTTTCTTGCCTATTTTTTGCGTATTGGTTTTTTTTGGGCATCTCGAGAACTTTTTAGACGAATTGAAACATTTTTGCGTCAATTATAAAATTCATTTATTCAGAGATAATTCCATGCTAAAAATAATTTTTCATAATTATTTATTATTTTTAATTAATTTATTTATAATAGTCGAAAAAAATTAATTGTAAGGTATAAATATTTTTAGATCATTTCAAAGAATGTCATTTTATGTGGTAAAATGCAAAATACGAGTGCAATCAACGAAATAGTTTCCGAATTATTAAATTTTAAGTCGTACACTTAACATTTGATTTCACAGAAACTGTTCGTTAAAATTATGCAAAAATTTGTATACATTACGATTCAAAATTCTTTTGACTGTTATTTAATAAATTAATATAAAATAATAAATAATTAATAGAAATAACTTTTTGTCTGGGATTATAATTGGATAAATGTTTTTCTCGATTTCGTTAAAAATTTCCCGAGATATCGCGAAATACGCTAAATGTAAATAAACAATTTGGGATACAAACTTTAATCCTCTCATCTGACTAAGCATTGAAGACGAATTTTGCTCACAGTCTGTATTTTGCCATTTAAAATTACATGCCTTGAAACTGCAATTAAAAATCAAAGTAGTAAATATTAAAAAATAATTATTGAAAACTATTTTTTACGTGGAACTATCTTTAGACAAACCATTTTTATAATTGACATTTTGATTCATTTAAAAAGCTCTCGAGATATAATGAAATACGCCAAAAGAAAAATCGACTAATTTAGAAAATGCATTTTTCACTTTAATTTAAATCTGAGTCATTGAAGACTTAAATGAAGAGTTTTTTATCAAAATGAGAAGAAATGAACTTTTCTTTTAAATTTGAAGACATAAACAAAAGAAACTTCTAAAAAAAGAGTCAACAAAAGTGACGATTTTTGATTTTCTGATAGCCATCGCTAAGTTGAAAGAAATTTATTCATTTTTTTAAGTTAAAAATATTTTGAAAATAGAGTTTTTATTCATCAAATAAAATATCAAATAAAGAATATTTCTAGGGGTGCGCAACCTGAGGCCCGCGGGCCAAATGCAACCACCACATGCACCTCCGACTATTGATGTGCGGCCCGCGAGAGCTTCTGACACGAATGTTTTTTTTTTTTTTTTTTTTTTTTTTTTTTTTTTTTCAAATTTTTAAAATGTCGAAAGTTTTGAATAGCATATTTGAGTTATAACTTTTTAATGCTCTCATTTGCACAGATTCTATTCAAAATCTATATGGTTTCTTGATCTTTTTTCAACGATTACTGTTACGAAATTACGCATGGTCTTAAAAATCCGATATTTTAAATATGATATTACGATGCGCGAATTTCGAATTTGAGTAATCGCTTTTCTACTTTCTTTATTTCTGCTGATTTCATCCTAAATCCAAGTGACTTTTTATTTTTTCATTTGTGCCACTTCCATGCTGTTTCCGGTGCATTTTATATGATATTTGACTGGTGAGTTATGAATCGCGCATTTAATTCATTATTTTTTGACGTGCTTTATTTGTGCCGATTTCATCGTTAATCTTTCAATGATTTTTTTTCAAGGTCGTTATTACTACACTTTTCTATGTGATTTTGAAATTCCTGTATTTTTACTGCGATATTATCACGTTACGTGAGTTTCAAATCGCACATTTAAATAACCACTTTTTGATGAGCTTCGTTTTCGCCGATTTCATCGTAAATCCAAGTCATTTTTCAATCTTTTTTTTCAGCAGTTTTCGGGATGCATTCCCACGCGGTCTTGAAAATTTCGATTTTTATTACGACGTGCGAATTCTAAATCACGCATTTAAATAATTACTTATTGATGTGCTTAATTTATGCTGATTTCATCTTAAATTTATGCACTTTTTGTTTGTGGCAATTATTGCGATGCTTTCATACATGTCTTTAACTACGATGTTATTACGATACGCGAGTTTCTAAACGAGGATTTAAATAATCACTTTTTACTACTATTTATTTGTGCATATTTATAATTTTCATCGTAAGTATAAGCTATTTTTGCATCCGTTTTTTGTCAGCCTCATACATTTGTAAGTGGTATTAAGAATCCCGAATAATAATACAATGTTATTGCAACCTGAAAAATTTAAAAAGAGGAGAAAAACGTGAATTTTTAAACTGCTAACTGTTTGGGCTTATTTTGTTTCAAATTTTTTACAGCTTAGGTAATTTTTTTAGGAGACAAATCCTTCTTATTTGAAATTCATAATTCCTGTAATAATTCAAGAAGTATAAATAATATATGAAGAAATGTAATACCAAATAAATATTGAGTCCCTTTTTGTTCTGTAACGGTTCCCCAATATTTATATTTATATATATATATTTAGTAAATCAATTATTGATATAAAAGGGGGGGGGGAATTTCGCTTTAAATATTAGTTTTTTTCATTTTTGAATGAATTCTAATTATTTAAAATATTTAATTTTCTCAAAAAATTAGTGCTCAGAACATAAATGTTTATATAACAATTATTGTATTTGCCTCCAAAATGACTAAATATGCGTGCGGCCCTTTGTTTGTCTACCTACTGTGCAAGTGTCCCTTCACTCAAAAAGGTTGTGCACCCTTTTTATACATATAAAAGAAAGATACTTTTTTCTTAAATTTTGAGACATAAACTAAACCAACTTCCGAAAAAGGAGTAAATAAAACTAATGAATTTTGATTGTTCTGATGGTCAACGTCCAGTCGAGAGAAATTTATACTTCTTAAAGTTAAGAATATTTAAAATATATATTTGACACTTTTATTTAAATCTGAATTGAGAAATACACAAATGAAGAATTTTTAACCTTATGAAAAAAATGAACTTTTCTTCTAAGTTTATTCGTAATTAAGTTAAGAATACATACAGTCCCTGGTCAAATTATTAGACGCCCTATAAGATTCCATGTAAAATCTTAATTTTCAGGTGATACTACAGCTTTATTGTTTTTACGCGACTAAAACCGGTTTGCACTTATTTACCTTCGTGTGTCAATTGGTTAACATTAGCAATACGTTAAAAATAAATACAAATAGGAAGTATATAAAAAATCTATCGAATAAAAACCCATTACATGTATGTTTAATTATAAAAGTATGGCATATAAACTCGTGCAAAACATATAATTATTAAGAAACTACAGTGCCTTTAATAATTTGGTCTGATTATTATAGTATACAAATATAATACCTGATATAATAAATATTCTATATTTATCTAATATATCGTCGAATTTATATCTTTTATCGTCAAATTTAACCAATTGGATACACGAACGTAAACAAGTGCAAACCTATTTCAATCGCCTAAAAACAATAAAGCTGTATAGTATCTCCTAATAATTAAAATTTTACATAGAATCTTATAGTGCGTCTAATAATTTGGCCAGGTACTATAGAAGATAAACTTTAGACTTTTATTCAAAACAGAATCATTTAGAAACACTCGAATAAAGTTTTTATTCATACGAAAAAAAAAAATACTTTCTTTAAATTTTAAGACATAAACTGATCCAACTTCCGAAAAAGGAGTAAATAAAACTAATGAATTTTAATTGTTCTGATGGCCAACGTCCAGTAGAAATAAATTCATACTTTTTTAAGTTAAACAAATTTTTAAAAATACATCTTTACTTCCTTTAAATTTGAATTGAGAAACACTCAAATGAAGAATTTTTTACCATATAAAAAACACTTTTCTTTTAAATTTTAAGACATTAAGAAAAAACTTCCAAAGAAAGAGTAAACAAAAGTAATGATTTTTTCCTGATCACGCAGTCGGGAAATATTTATTAGATTTTTCTTTTGGGAATTCATAAGCGGGACATAAAAACATTTTTGGTGAGAGCATTTTATTAAATGACATAGCAATATAAATTTCCCCCTATAAAAAAGAGGGGATATATACCTCTTTTATTTGATTAACTATGTGGAAATATCATAAAAATAGTCGGTGCCGCCAATCGATTTGATGGAAACAAGAATCACGTGATTTAGACTCCGGGCAACCAGTTGATGAGGAGCAACGTATTGAGCGCATCTATGATTTTTCTCCTTCGTGATCATTTCTGCAAGAACCCTTTCAACGTTTAAGCATAGTTTGCAACGAAAACAGGTATGCTTTTACAGTGATAACATCATATATGTAATATATGAAAATTTATTTTTATGCTAAAAATAATTTCTTTTAAAAAAATATTATCATCATTATAAAAAAATATACTTTCTTTACGAGGAAAAATTATTTTAAGGTAATGACAATTTGTATGTAACATATGAAAATTAATTTTTAGGGTAAAAACAATTTCTTTAAAGATAAAACTTTTTTAACAATAATTAGAAGTGTGTATTTATACAAAAAAAGATTGTTTAACATTCTTTGCAAGGAAAATTCGCATGATTTTGGAGTCATGATAAAATACATGCAACATATGAAGGGCGGCATATTTTAGGGTAATAAGAATTTTTAACGAGAAATTATAAGCATGATATAAAAAATAATTTTTAGGATTATGAGAATTTTTTAATGACAATGTGAATTTAACAAATGAAATTTAATTTTTGAAGTTGTAAATTTTATTAAAAAAATATATTGTTTAAAATTAAAAGTGAGAATGCATTTTATATTTTAGAAAAAAAGTTTAACCTCGTTTGCAAAGAGAAATGGAATATAGCTAGAGATACAAAAACTCAAAGCTTTTAAAAAACGGAGAAAAAAACATTGGAAATCTGGAATTTCGAGGAATATAGGAAATTTTAATTGCAAAACATTCGGCTTATTTCCAATGTTAAGAGATTAATGTATGCAGTATAACAGCTTTAATATTAAAAAAAGGTAGCATTTGCATTTAAGAGGCTTGATGAATTTTAATTTACTTGCAATGGCATTCCATATGGGTTTTTTTTTCTATATATGTCACTTAATAAATATACTAATATTAATATAAATATTAGTATATTTATTACTAATATAAATTACTAATATAAATATTAGAAATAGGAGTCTTGTCGTCATTGATAGACCTTTATGACGATAACATCAAGCAAATCGCAGAAGCAGTAATCAAGACGCATGGAAACATTTGATTCGGCTATGTCATAGACACGACAAAAATATATATATATATATATACTTTATTAGAAGTCAATTTTAAATTTAACATTTTCAAATTTAGCATTTTTAACTTCAAAAATTTATTAAAAAATTTAAAAAATAAATGAACATAAATATTGTGAAATTAAACATTTTACAAAAATATATGATTGTTAACAAAGAGGATTTAATATTTCTTTAATTGCTAACACAAGATACTGAAAAACGGGCAGAATATTATTTTTTAAAATCAAAGATTAAGCATATTAAGATTTAACCTATTCAACATAATGCTTCTTGCAAAATGCTTCTGTTACTTCTGTTGAGAAATATGACTGAATTGAGTGCCAATTTAAATTCTTGAGAATAAAAAACCTGCCATTTTCACAATTTTTTTCGCTAATTGCTACTTACGCGTGAAAGATTCTTCAGAAAGCGTTACATTCAAGAAGGATAAAATATGATTTATGAAATTTTTTTTAAAGATACTTTTTATTAAAAAAACTAATCTACGTACTGAATATCATAAAATATATTTCAGAGCGAACTTACATTCGATGAAGCAATTAAATGGTAAGTTAATTGGGGCAAATGAAAATTCTTGGGAATAAAGAACCTGCAATCTTCAAAATTTTTTTCCACCAATTTCAAATGTACCTACGTCAGACTACACAAAGCATGACATTCAAGAAGGGTAAAATATAATTTATAAAATTTTTTTTTTAAATGTTTCATGAATTTTAAAACATTCTCTTCAGAAATCCTGACAATCAAGAGGGGTAAAATATGACTTATGAAAAAAAAATTTAAATACCTATTATTAAATAAACTAATCTACGTACTTTTGATTATCATAAAACATATTTGAGCGCGAACTTACATTTGATGAAGCAATTAATTATTAAGTTATTGGGGCAAATGAAAATGTCCATACTGTCCTTTCTAGTATGTTTTCTTTTTCTTTATTGGATCAATTTTATCGAAATAAATCTATGCAAGTTAAAAATAATATTCAACTGTTAATTCTTCAAAATATTGACACAAAAATTTTCTCTTGATTTACCATAATTTGCTCATTGAAAAGTAAAACAAATATTCCTTGTCAAGAATAAATTCAAATCGCAATAAGAGTAGCAAGTAGCATTCGCAAAGCAAAGGAAAACGAGAATGCTATCGAATTACTACTGAGGAAGACGAGATGAAAACATTAAACTCTGTTTAGGATAATTTTGATAGTGGATTAGCATATTTCGAAGTGCGATTTCGTTCAGTAACGTAAAAATTTGTCTACCTAACTGCTCAACCAATATAAGTAAACCATTAAACATAACAATTCAAACTTTTTTCACCCATTATTAAATAAAATAGCTCAAAATAATTAATAGTTTTTAAAAAATTGTGTTTTACGTATAATAAATTCTATGAATGTGCACAAATAGGTTTCGATTTGCATAAAAAGTTAAACAGATACGTCTAAAAGCGCGAAATTGAAATTTACATAAGGGAGCAAATTTTAAACTGCTCTATATATAAAACTGATGGGATCATAATTTTCAAAATACGGATTGAAATAACTAAATTTGAAATTTCTTTATCCATCAGTAATAATGTGTATCATGATTTTACTTAATTATAATCAGCTAAACAAGCAAAAATTATAAGGAGATCCTCTATTGAGTAAAGTGTAGATTAAGCTCTTTTTTTAACAAATGTTACTAATAAGAAAAAAATTAAAGTATACTTGTATTTGATTACCACTTTGATTAGGTTCAGGTTAAATATGACTAGATTTCAAATTCAAAGATAGATTTTTATGTTATTAATATATTTTAATTAAACGATGTTTTTTCAAAATAAAGTATCAATAAATGTGTTAATAAATGCTCTTTTGAAGTAGTTATAAATATGCTACAGATGCTTTTAACCCCTTCCCTCTCGCTCCCGTGAAAATGACGAGATGAGGTTTCGCCCTCTATTTCTCGCTCCCGTGATATTGACGGGCTGAAGTGTTCAGTAGTAACGCGCCAATAAGAATAAAACTAGTTCGTTTCTTTTGCCCGAAAAAAAAGTATTTCTCGTTTTACACACCAGATGGCAGTACCAGGATATTTTTTAAGGTATTTGTAGATAGTTATTTTTAAACTAAACTTCAGCACTAATCAAATACGTAATACAAATACAAAAGACAAAAAATAGGTACTTTTATGACCTCTTTCTTGAAAATTAACCGATCGTTAAGGAGTTAATAAGAAAAAAATTAAAATATACTTGTATTTAGTTACCACTTTGATTAGATTTAAGTTAAATATGACTGAATTTCAGATTCAAAGATAGATTTTTACGTAATTAATATATTTAATTAATACGATGTTTTTTTAAAATAAAGTATCAATAAATGTGTTAATAAATGCTCTTTCGAATAATCTACTAAATTTAATTCTAATTTTAATTCTGATTATAAAATTTTCACTGACTGACGCGTCTTTATAAAAAAGACATAAAGAAAGTAATACTTTCAGGCAAATTTATTGAAATATCAAAGTCAATTACCAATTTTTAACATATTAGTGAGTATCATCCTCTTTTTTAATTTCAAAAAGATAGTCTATCGTGAATTTGGAAGGCTATTACGGGATACCCAGGGTCGACGGTACCATTTTTGTGACAAATATTTTTGTTTTTACAGTAAGGAAAAAAAAGTTTCATACATTTTTATGATAATTATCATTATTATGTAAAGCTTGATTATTTTTGAGTATACTTTTTAGAATTTAGGAAAATTCTCCCAATAGTTTTTGGTGAGGGATATTTTATCAGGCAAATTAATTTACGTACATTCAAATTACAATTTTACAAACATGTGAAATAACAAGTCAAATATATAATCAAATATATATTTATAATAACAAGCACATTTAACACAAAGTTTAGTTAGTTGATACATTTTTTAATGTTTTATTTATTTATTTATGTTTTCTTTTGGAGGGGGGAGGGGGTATTTTTCAGGACAAATCTCTCCTACTCACAATCACATAAAGTAGCAAATAAAAAAAACACATTCATAACCAGTAATTTGCTTAGTCTGCGTTCGATACCAATTGATTTGAATTCTATGCTGGTTCGTTTGATAACATATGAATAAAATAGTAATGGACTGTATTTAAGATTTTATTATGATTGGTGCCACGAGCACGCTCATGCTAAAAGATCAACAACCAATTTACAACTGTTTGGGGTTACAAGAAACGGTGGCGAGGATGCCAAGACAAAGATGCCAAGCTGGCGCTTTATTTCTGAGATACTGAACATCCACCCGCCGTTGAATTATATTCAATAAACTATACAAATTAGCGTAAAAATGGTACATAAACATATTCCTATATAAAATTTACAAAGATTGAATAAATGCTGTAGGTACACATAATGAGAAAATTAACATACATCTTTTTTAATTGGTCTATGGCAAAATACACAATTTACTAATACAACGTTTAACGATTCCCTTGCTTGTTTTAATCTCCGCTACTCTAACCATTCCATCCGTTCCAGGAAATAGTTTTAAAATTCGTCCTAAGCTCCACTGATTTACAGGAAGATCATCCTTCTTTATTAAAACCATCGCATTTAAATTTATGTTGGTTTTCTCTACTTTCCACTTCGTTCTTTGTTGCAAGCTGTTCAGGTGGTCGCGAGATCACTTAATCCAAATGTATTGAACAATTTTTGTCAACCTTTGCCATCGAGAAAGTCGGGTTTCCTATTTATTCAACAAACTTGGTTCAGCTATGGCAGTTATCCAGCCAAAAAATGCTCTGGTATTAGAACATCCAGGTCATCAATATCATCTGACAAAGGTGTTAATGGCCGAGAATTTAAGATGCCTTCGACTTGTGTTGTTATTGTAAGGAATTCCTCTAATGTTAATTTCAGATTTCCTGTAGCTCGTTTTAAGTAAAACTTAAAGGATTTGACCCCTGCCTCCCAGAGGCCCCCGAAATTTGGATCTCTGGGAGGAATAAAAT